CCCTCGCTGCCGGCTGGGCCCTGGCCCCGCTGAGCGCAGGGTGCGCGCCCGGCCGGGGCCTCCCGGGGCCAGAATTGGGGCTCACGTTCGCAGGGCCGGGAGACCTGCCACACTTCGGTGGCTGAACTTTTTTTTCCCCCTTGTTCCCACTTTCACAAAATTTTCGGGTTTTATGTAAGCTATTTGGGAGAAGAAATATCTAAAATACAATGGCTGTGGCTTGCAAGTGCTTTGATGAGGAATAACTGTCTGGGTTATCTTGTGAGGGCACTGATATTTCTGTAACTAATAACGCTATAGTTTCTTCTTTGGGATTTGGCTTCACAGGCGACTGTATCCTGTCAGCAGTTTTCCTCCGTTGGCTGTGACGTTGTTTTCAGTCTTGTCATTGCTGTGTGGACTCGGTTGCAATCTCCATAGCTGTTTCTGATAGGCAGCGGTTACGAAACACAAGTACTCTTGTAAAGGACTCTAAAAGAGAAAGCTTAATCTACCTCAACTGTCAAGTTTTTGTTTAATAATTTACTGTTTGTAACACGAGTTAGCCATACAAGTAGGTGAGCTTTGGGGGGGTTAATACAGAAGGATACCTTCTCTATAGGTGCAGTAATCAGAGCCAGCTTCTGTGGCAGCTATTTAAGAGTAATTAACGCCATTTAAGAGTAATCTGCTCTGTTCTACAGCTTGACTCAACGTTCCTGCTAGGTAGACTACTGGAGGAATACCGTTTCTGTTCAAAGCCTATAAAAATAAATCCCTGGCCTGTGCAGCGCTCCTAGAATAGCTCTGTAATAAGAGCATAGTAAAACATGTAGCAACTTCATTGTCATGCCTTCTAGTGTGTTCTGATGAAGTCAGGTGACCGGGGGTGATTTTGCCTAGTTTCAGACTGAAATCTTGAAATGCAGAGCATTATGCGCTGCTTTGAAAAATTAATCTTTATTTGAGAGACAGGAGTCCCCTACTGATCTGCTAATTTAGTTTTAATCTGATGAGGTCTTCAAGACCAATTAATAACATCAATAAAAATACCCCTCCTGTGTTTTCTTTCAGTTTGTATCCTGTTAGGATTCTGTGATAACAGCACTGTTGTGGCACTGCAATATTAACCTTTACTAAAATGGTTTGTCTGGGTAGGCAAAATGGAACATTGACTCACTTAATGCTTAGCTCTGAAATACTTACATAAACAGTCGTTGTGCAGTACTTATTTGTTACTATACTTAAGATGAAACGCCTAAATGAACTTCGAGGCAGCCTTTTCATGAACAGACTCTTCTCTAAACTTTTCTAACGTGTTGTAAAGAAGCTCATGCATATGTTAAGTGAGAAAGGTGTTAAACAGCAGCGTAATACAAATTGAAAATTCGCCAGAGACCAGCGTTTCCTGTTCTCCATGTGAAAACTCAGGATAGGGGCAGGGGGAAGTTGAGCAACAAAGAAACTTTAGATACTGGAGAATGTAGGCTTGGTTGACTGGCTCTCCTTTTGCCTTTAAAGCCTGTTTTCCAGGAAGCTGTTAGAGGTGGTGCATTTTGTTTCTGGACTGACTTTTGGCACAAGAATTCACTGTAGACTTGTGTTGTCATGTTTTTCTCATTTTTCCACTTTACATTTTTCTCTGATGTCTTGCTGAAGAGGATGAGCTCTTCATACCAGGGTTTGAAAAAGCTGATGACTCTTTGTTTTAGCCATGCGATTCAGTTGTCCAACAGATACGGAACTTTACACTGCTAGTACCTCTGCAGAGATTAGAAGCAAAAGCTATATTTAAGTGAGTTAGGTAACTGCTGCTCTCCTGGTAGATCTTTTTAAGGAAGTAAGTAGCTGTGACAAATTTCTGTAGAGAACTAAAATTATAACTTTTGTGTGGTTGTCACTAGGAAGAAGTGTGTGGTATATCTTGATTTCTACCTCCCCCAGTGATTTCTTAGTCACCTGCTACCAGCTGGTTTGGTTTGACACTTTGTGCTGAAATTGTTTAATTTGTCGTAGGTAGTTTTTTGAGTCTTGGTTGTTCTTGGTCATCGAGAGTAGGTGACTGTACTTTGTATCTTTTTCAGCTGCATTGATGCATAGCACAGTATTTTGTGTTTTGATTGCCTGGTGTACGCTGATTTGTCATCCTTGTGAGTTTGCATATGTCATTTTTGATGCACCGTGAGTACATTTTTATATAAGCTTTTTATTGTTGGCCCTCTGTTCTTAAAAAAATCCCTCCTTTTGGTTAGCATTGGCAAAATATACCTCCTCAAATGCTTTGTCTGTTGGCTCAACAGTGAGTACCCAGTGATTCAGCATTGGATGTTCAAAGTGTTTAGCTGAAAGGATTCCTTTTGACAAAATCCATTCAGTGTCAGCATGCTCATAAAGCACAACAGGAATAACAGCAACTGAAGATTGATGTTTATAACACGTGCAAACTGTGGCCTTGGCTGGTATGATATTATATAGTGAGAAATAGTGTGGCGTGGAGTTCTGTGTTCAGTAGTGTTGGGGAAGCTTTGCCCTTTATTTGTATTTGACATTGTATTGCCTCGCTGTGATTTTTATCTACTAAAAAGCATTTGTTCCTATGCTCATAGAAATGCTCACAGCAGTTTAAGAGAAATTTCTATTTTTTCCTTGGTAGAACTGTTAATTTGGATTCCCCACTGTATTGTGCAGAGCTGCCTCCGAGATGTCTTCGCCTAATGGAGTAACTAGATAATGTTACAATCTAAATCTGATGGTATAACCATTGCTTCAGAGTGTGGATTTTTTTACAAGGAAGATATGGAGTATTATAGAACTTTGAGCTTTCATAAGAAATATAGGAAAGCACTGGGGTAGGCTAGTGTGGTGGCTCTAGTTCTTTGGCAGTTCTGGCTTAAGTAGCTCCCAACTGCTTGTGTTCCTCTGCCCTCCCTGCTGCTGTGCTAACATACCTGTTTGTGCAGCTGCTTGGTGATCCAGACTGTGGAAACTGATCCACATTAAATGCAGACCAAGAAGGAAAGAAAAAAATATAGTGGTTTTTTTTTTTCTGTTGAACTAGTTTCTGTAACTTGTTCATGTGGAGTACATGCAGTCATGCTGACTGGTGCAATGCAAAGGATGGTGACATGGATGGAAAAGAGGGAGAAGGGGCTGCCTAAGCAGCTGTAAGTGGGTGTGAAGCCAAAGTCACAGGTGAACGTGAGGCCCTCCTGACTTCACTAGCAATTCTTGTTTCCTGCTTAGAAGTCTTTCTGTGACTTCAGATGGTAATAACAATTCAAGAACTAGAGCAGCCAGTGCAAATCAGTATGGTTTGAATGCAAAATGAAAAAAAATGGCCTTGGCCAAATACTGGAAAGTAGCAAAACAAGAATTTTGGATGGAACATAGTTTACTGTACTTCATATATCAAATTGCTACATGGACTGGAACAGATGAGTGTAAAGTAGAGGTCAGTGTTAAAAGACTGACTGTACAAATTGCAGTTTTTGCCAAATGAGTATCTTCAAATTATTACTTTGATCATCCATATTTTATAGTATAATGATAAAATAGACATTTTATTTTACAAAAACGCACAATCAAACTTCATCCTCATAATTTTAGGATAATTATGGACGTGTATAGAGAAGTACAATATTGTTGCTACTAGTATGATAGGCATGTTTTTGAGACTCAGCCACTTGAACACTCATACCAACACATTAGTTAGAGCAATCATACAAATTAAATTATGGCAGTGCAAGTGCTAGTCTGTGCAACTTCATGCTCAAACAGGTCATGCTTTCAGCATTTGTTTGTTCTTAGTGGAACCCTTGTTTTGATTAGAAAAAGTTTGTTGTGGTTTTTTCCCCCCCAAAATGGAATAATTTAATTTTAGTATAGGCTACTTTTATGTGAAAGAAAAATGGCTTTACGAGATTCAAACACATCTCCAGGAAAGATATCTCAGGTGGGATGCTCGACTCCTACAGTTGAGGAGGGAATGTATGAAAATGTCTGTTTGCATAATTGATACGTTAACTTGGTAGCAATGGTTGCCATTTTGGTGAATTACCTGCAAAGGTATTCTGCATAAATTGTTCATTATTATATATTTCATTTACAGTGTTGCTAATTGTCTTTCAGGAAATGGAGGATAAGGTGATCAGCCCAGAAAAAGTTGAAGAAGCAAAATTGAAAGCAAGATATCCTCATCTGGGCCAGAAGCCAGGAGGCTCAGACTTTTTGAGGAAGAGGCTTCAAAAAGGAGTGAGTTCTTTATTGTCCACAGGGTATGGACAGGAAATTCCAAAATTCTTGTATCTTTTTCCCCCCACTCCACAGACCTTTGCATGACTCAAATAGTGCTAAGAAATTTAAACTTTGTGAAAGCACGAGGAAGAGAAACATTTTTCTGCAAAGCAAATGCCAAATTGGCAGGATAGCTGTTTAAAGCATCAATAGCTCAACTGCACTTTTTAGAAAAAAATAAACTTGGAAGCTGACTTTGTGCTGCTATGATAGACTTCGTAAAAAACATGATAGTTAACATGAAGAGTCAGAACCTCATCCCTGTACTGATCTTTATCTTGCCCATTCTTATGTCCTTAAAACATATGTCCACTGTTATTATCCATGTTTAGCACATGAAAGCTCAGTGCCAGCGGTGTTACACCAGGCACCGTCTGACATCAGTGACTTGAGAATGGTGGTGTAAATCTGATTTTACACCCTAACCAAAAATAATAATGAGGGGTGAATTGGTGTTTTAGTACTGTTCCATGTTTAACCAGTGTCTCTTGTTTTCTTAGTTATTCAATGGTTTATTTTTTAGTTATTTTTTAGTGTAATAATTCATACAGTGATTATGTAATGTCTTTCAAGCATGCTAGAACTCTCTTCTTGGAATAATCCTAGTATATCACTGCTTCTGATGGTGCTCTCACTGCTGTCACACTGTTGGTTTTTTTACTATTGTCTAGGCCCTTTGAGTGCACGCAATGATTCCAAGTATAAATCCTTCGCAAACCAGCTGTTGGGAGTTCAGTGCTGATCTAATTCGGTGCTATCTGGTAACATCTCCTGGGAATTGTTACTGTTGGCAGGTTTTTTGGATAAGCTTTCTCTCAGAAATTGGGAGTGTATGCAGCTTTGTTAATGGCTACAGGGAATGGGCAGATGTTAGATTAGGTGACTCCTTTTGTGAGTTACAGTGTTATGTTATCAAAGGCAGCCGAAATGAGACTTCAGCATACGTGCAGACACAGAAGGGAGAAGGTAAGTATATGCTGTGATGGAAAATAGACCAGTATCCACTCCCTAAGGTTACTGGCCATGAAGGAATTGTGACTGCTTGCACTTAGTGCAAACTTACCACCACCACCAATCTGTACAGTATCTTCATCTTCATTATAGCACTATTTTAATGCAAAAGTCATTGCAGCGTGTATTTTCAAGTGTGAGCAGAGGTGGACCAGTGGGCATCTTAATTGTTTGAGGTTTTGCTACTTTGTTGAAAGATGGCAGAAAGTTGTGGATTTTGATTCATAATTGTCTCCTTTAATTCTCCACTCCTGGTGTGGTGGTAATAACTTTCTTCCATTTTATTTTTTATTATATTTGTTTAGTGTGCTCAGTGTCTTACATGAGAAAGCATCTTTACTTGCTTTAGACACCCAGTGTACTTCAGGCTGCCTGGATTGCTGAAGTTTAAAATAGGATGAAGATATTGAGTATGCTTTCAGATAGTGTTTGTGGTGTGAAGAGACACCTGGACAGACACAGTCAGTTTGAAAGGGATGGTTAAATACAGGCCATGTATGAGGAGCTAGAGTAAATCAAAGGAAAACACAGGAAAAAGTTGAAGGAGGAAATGGACTGGTACTCTAATACATGAAAGATGGCAGGTTTTCTCAGATATTCTTCTAAATGTATGTAGTCAACTGTAGCCCAGATTTTCTTCTATTTGATAAATAGAATGCACTCTGCCCACCATTGATATTTGCTCTTGAGAAATGTTCTGCGTTGGGCGCACACGCTGTTGTTAGCACACTTTCTCCAGCAGTAGGTGAGAACCATGCTAAACCACGCTCATGTAGAGGGTTTCTATTTGGAGCTCCTCTATTTTGGAGCTCGTGGTGAGCAGCCATAACACATAGAAAGAGCGAGCAATTCTCTTATTACCTAGACACTGTTTAAAAGCTTCTTTTGCTTGCTTCAGTCTTGAAGGGCACAATGTGAAAGCCTTTTTCCAAATCAAATTATGTTATAACTCGAGTTCTAGTCTACAAATGTAGTGCTAGAACATTGTGGTGTAAGTAGTGATTACACCATTAAAAACATTGAATTGGGAAGTTTTACCAATAAAAGTGTATGGTTTGGATGTACTACAGACTGCATGGGAAAAACAGATTTGTTAACGGTAAGGCTCTGGCAGGGAACGTTTAAAGCCTTCTTCAGGAAGCCTTGCATAAACAGCTTTCCTTCCTGCCGGAAGGTAAGGACCAGCTAAGTCTGATGTTCAAATTACTTCTCTTTAACAATTGCTGCTACTAAATGTTGTGCAGCTGGTTAGTGCTAATGCAAAGTAAAGCATATAGTAGTAATGTGTGGCCTGGAAGCACCTGAACATGGCAGGTAGTGATGGCTGTTGTTCAACTGACTGAGGAATAAGCCTATGTAAAATTAACAAGGGAGTGTTCTCTTCAGAGATGATTATAAGCAGCAGTTGGTAGCATAAATCTCTTTACAGAATCTGATTTTTTTTTCCTTATGTGACAGTCATTTCAAAATCATGGGTGTACAAATACCTTAACAGTAGACCGTGTTGTAGGATGTGAACAAAATACAACATCTCCTTCAAAATGTGTCAATGGGCAGTTGACAACTTGATGCAGAACTTGGATGAAATTCCATGCCCTATTTTGCCCTGATGCAGATAACTTTTAAGTAATTTGGCTTTAACATCCAGAGATAACTCAGTATTTTGAGAAATCTGACAATAAAAGAAGACTGTTAAAGGCAATGCTAATAAAAATTTGCTGAAATATTAAGGAATGCTGTTTTAGAAATTCAAACTTTACCTACCCACTTTTGTATTCAGAAGAAACCTGGAACATGGGATAAGAATTTCCTTCACACAGTGCTTTTCAGGAGGACTGCACAGTGATTTAGCTTTACTAAATAATTTGTTTGGGAAGTTTAGAGATTGTGGTTTCACAGTTATAATATCTGTAGATAAGAGGTTTTCTTGTTAGCCTGCAGTTTCATGCTACTTTGATCTTCTGGGCAGGCTCTGTTCTCCAGTGTTAGCTCTTGCGTTGTTTGGTTATTCCATGTAGCAGAACTTGTTCACTGTAATAAAATTTACCAACCTCAAAGTTTCACCTGTGGGAGACCAGAGCTCTTGGGAAAGACAGGGCAAAAATAATGTTCACCTATGGTGTGAGCTTAGTGGTATGTGCAGAACCTTACCTGTATACTTGCCTATTGTTATTTGTGCTTAATTGTCTTGGTAAGATAATTAATTTTTCAGAATCAGCATAGAGCTATCTTGCCAAATTGGAAAGATTTTCTAACTGTTTATAAATTTTAAAGAATCTGTTCAACCATGTAATTCAGTGTATGCATCTGATAAGATTCCAGGCTTTTAAATACATGTATGTTTTGTCTTCTAGCAAAAATACTTTGATTCTGGTGATTACAACATGGCTAAAGCAAAGATGAAGAATAAGCAACTGCCTACTGCAGCTCCTGACAAGACAGAAGTCACTGGTGACCATATTCCTACTCCACAGGATCTTCCACAGCGGAAACCGTCTCTTGTTGCTAGCAAACTGGCTGGCTGATGAGAACAGCTGAACTGCATGATTATTCTCATTCCTGTTATTTCTCCTTAATAGTTATTTCTCACCCTCACATCCCCCTTTTTCTTTCTTACACTAAGTCATGAGACTGACAGCTTTGCAGGTAGCGATAGCATGTGCTGCTATTGTAAGGGAGTACTGTTAAGAGTAAAACGTGTAGTATTTGGACTAGTTGAGAACGATGCACTGATTTAAAAGGACGAGTTTGGTTAGAGCAATGTAATTACTTGAAAATGTACATATTGCCCATATCCTAGTGTAGGACTGATTCTAGCAAGTGACATTGCAAGTTTGACAACTTCTAATGTTTCTGCTTTTGTTATTTCATCTTAATTACAGCATATTTGTATTTAATATAACCTCCAGTTGTGTTGGGTTTTTCTTCTGTGTTTGGGGTTGTCTAAAATAGAGGTTTAGACCACAAGTTGCTAGATGGTGAAGCATGTATAAAAACAAAGACAGGGCTCTGATTGAATTTTGTTTCTGCTTTCGAACTTGAACGGCCTTAAACCTGTTTCAGCTTTAACAATAGAGTTTTTACTTGGGCAATATTTGCCCATTCTGGTGTAACTCTTGTGAATCTAGTGCTTATTGACAACTGCCTGTTGAAGCTGGTATTTCCTTTCGGTTCCGTAGCTTAGGACACACTTTTGTTGAAGATGTGAATGAAGTGTGCATGTGCATAGACTGTTGAATTCACTTTTGTGCCATTTTTGTAAATACAATAGTTTTGCACAACCTTTTGCAAACTTCTATTAGTTTTACATTTTAAAAAGCAGATAATGTGCCAATCAAAGCACAAGTGATTCTGTATCGTTCAAAGTCTGTCTTGAAACTAAAAGCCCAGAATCTTGCTACTGAAAGTACAAATTGTATACCTGAAATTTGTGAAACACATTTACACTTGACTCGGCCTTATGCTTCCGCGGTTGTATATTTTGTTTCGCAACAACATCCGGCACTCAGATATAAATCTGGAATTTGTACCTAGATTTGGAGGCAAATGCCCTTTCTGTTCAACAGCTCTCTTAAGCTTTTAAAGCTGAACTGCTCTGTCTGGTGACACAGAAGATGGCTAAATGTAACGTTCCAGAGAGTTTACTGTGTGGCAAACACCAAATCTAGGCTTGCTAAGGTTTGATATGCAGTTGTCTTTGAGCTATTTTAGACTTCTGGAAGCAGAAGGGTGTAATTCTTTTTTTGTTTTTCTAGGACTCCTGAAGTGGTAGTAAACTATCTCCTTTTCTCTTTGTTATACAGCAGCCCCTCATTGGCTTTGGGGAAACAAAAACCTGGAAGTGGTATTTATATAATGACCTACTGTGAAGTAGGTAACTATTGTGAAGTCGGAAAATAGGAATGAACTTCAGTTCATCTTTATGATGCAGGTCATAAGTACTAGTTTGCCAAAATACTTAGCTGATATTAGTCAGGTAATGATGCATTTAAAAGCATGTTCAATGAAACTAAGAATCTTGAAAGTACAATAGGATTCGTAACATAATTGATTTTTCATACAGGTTCTTAGGGAGTATAGGAAAGTCTTTTAAAGGATAGTTTACTGAATACTTTTTACTTTAAAGAAGCAGTTCTGAAATAGCCTACTAAAAACAGCACCAGTGTGGGTGTTATAAGAGAAGACACTCTTAAAAATGCATGTTTTTAGAAGGATGTGCTTTGTGTTGACATATTCAGAAAAGTCTTGCAGGTAAAGTACTGCTAGTCAGCAACAACACCGGCCCATGGTTTCTGCAATGCTCTCTTCTAAAGGCAAATGTAAGAAAATCGTCAAGAGAAAATGAATAATCTTAATTTGGTCCTGTTTTGATCAGAACATGAGCAAAGTATATATTGTTGTTTATATAATACCTTCGGTTCAGAGACATCACTCCAGAGAATTTTGAAATTGCGAACCTGATTCCTTTTAAGTCTGTGTAGCCCTTTTCTAGTAATTAAATGGGCTCTGTCAAGCCTGTCCTTATTCCTTATCCTCCACTACTATTATGAAGGATTTTTCTGCAGTACAGGTGGAAGAAACGGACCTATTCTTTAAGTAAGAAATTAAGCTGGGAGAATAGCAAGGAAACTGGATATATTGAAGCAAACTGCTTTTTATAGATGTTTGTCCTGATGTGAAAATCCCTCTTTATTTTTGTATGCATAAATGAAATTGAAAGTTAATGATAGGACTGGGCCTGAAACAAACTTTGAGCAATTTAAGGTGACTTACTGTGTGTTGTCTGGTGCCACTATTCTGTAACTGACATAAAGTGAGCTTTCTTGATGTTTGGGAAGGTTTAAAAAATAGCCATTTAAATTTAAACATTCCACTCACTTAGCTATGACTCAGCTTGTCCTGAAGGTTGGAAAACACAAGCTCTTCAG